ACTTTCTTAGTTCTTCTTCTTCTTCCTCTCTCTCTTCTCTCTCTCTCTCTCTCTCTCTCTCTCTCTCTCTCCTTTCTGTCTGGGTTTGCATTAGCGCATTCATTATGTTATGACCTGCATAATATGTAAATCTGTCCCGCCTGTGCCTACATTTTTAGGTGCACATTCAACACATCAAAGACTCACGATGACGTGAACGATTCACAAGACAGAAGACGAAAAGAAAAAAAACCATGTTTGTGCATCCCTCGGAGCCGATTCCATGGTTCCACAGTTCCATCAAGTTTTTGTTGCTAGCCATTGTGACATTTTAACTGGATCTCGGGACTGAAAAGATTACCTTAACCTTTCTGGTGGAGTCATAGCTCTCCTGAGGTATTGTTGTTGTTCCTCGGGAGATGATCGTGTTGATAAGGAGCATACATACAGTACCAGAAAAAGGAAGAGGAAAAGAAAAGAAAAATAGACACAACTGCCGAGGTCTTCATATCAAGCTTGGCAACCTAGGCACGTCCCACGGTCCCAAGACGTATTTATTGTAACTTTATCTATCATTATCTATATCAATAATTTTTTCTTTTCAGCTTGTGCCATTGACAAGGTGCCCGTTGGTTCCGTTTTGAACACCGTTGGTCTGGAGACCATCGACGCCCTCTGGTCCGGAAGCTGCTTTCTTCGCTGCCTTGACGCCATTGACAGCTACGCCGTTTCCATTGGCGTGACCATTGCTGCCGTTGGTGGTGGCCTGCTTGGTGTCGTCGTTGATGACATGGATCTTCTTGAGACCTGCGCTGGAACCGTTGGCATGGCCATTGGTACCAGCCGTCGCATCGACTGCCTTGTTGTTCAAAGTGTAGCCCGTGTCACTTGAGTCGACGAATGCCTCGATGCCCAGTCCATTGCGTGGGTATGTCTTGCACATCTCCTTGTGCTTTCGTAGTGCCTCATTCATCTCCGACTGCTCCACATCGTTCAAAAAGACACAGCTTCCCAGTGGGCTGGGAATGGCAGCTCGAAGCTTGCCATCGCGAGTCTTCAGAATGGCAGTGGTAGCCTTGTCGAGTATGTCCTCGTTGAAGTCCTCGTGGTCCATGGAGAGACCGACGCGAGAGAAAAGGTCGAGCAGGCGCTTATAATCCCCGTCGGGGAGGTTACCACGCATGTGTGCGAGGGTGGCCGAGTACGCCATATCGATGGAAATGGCGTGGCCATGGCGAAGTGGTACATCGGGGACCAGCTCGTGAAGTGGTGACCAGCTGTGAGACGAGTTAGTCAATAGGTGAGATTGCATGAAGAGATTACATCAGCCCGAACGTACGTGTGACCGTAAGCAATGACACGATCCAGTCCAATCTCGTGCAGGTTTGGTGTCTCGAGCTTGAGCATCTCATGAATACCTGCTCGGTTGATCTCGTCGCAGGCCTTGGTGACCTCCTCGGTGGCATCATCAGAGCGACCAAAGCCCGTCTTGATAATCTGCTCAGCATACTTGTCCAGCAAGTCGAACGTGGGCAGATGTGCACAAGAAGAGATCTTGATCAGCTCTGCAAAGCCGTTCCGAATCTGTGCCTCTGGCAAAGTGCGGAGGAAGGTGAAGTCTAGAAAGGTGTGGATAGGCGCGTGGTATGCTCCCAGACGGTTCTTGTAGTTGCCGTAGTTCACGGCGACCTTGATCGATACGGACGCATCGATCAGGCCAATGACAGTGGTCGGGATTCTGATGAAGTTGGTGTTTCGACGGTATGCAGCACAAGCGAATCCAGCAACATCGGTGACCAAGCCACCTCCAATGACAAGGACCGGCTCCTAGTTCCACGACGTCAGTATTCTGTACCCTGCTCGCAACACGTTTGTATCTTCACACCTTTCTGTAGATACCGAACTTGGTCATCGAGTCGACAATGCTCAAGAAGGTGTCGATGCTCTTGGCTTTCTCGCCAATCATGGTCTTGTGGACCTGAAGCTCAATCTTGTGGTGATCGAAGTAGCGCTGCATCTGCTCGCCGTAGACATTGAAGATGTTGGTGTCCATGACCGCGAGAGCTCGCCCCCATCGTTCGTAGCACTTTGCAAGATCCGGCTTGCGTGGGTCAAAGACGCTGTCAATGAAAGTAAAATCGTATTCGATCTTCTCGTAGCCCTCGACATGGAAGCCATTGGACGTTTCCGCCACAGTAGCCTTGAGGTCCGACATTCTGGTAGTAAGCTCACGAATGAAAGCGTGAGTGAATTTGAGGAGCTAAAGAAAGAGCTCGACTTTTTTTTTTCTATCAAAAAAGGGATGGGAGATGCTGGTGGAAGCACAAACACAGGGTCGAGGGCCGCAAGTGTTCTTATACTCCCTGCAAGGCTCGCATACTCCCGCTAAAGGCTCGTCAGCAACGGAGTGCTCCATATAAGTTGTGTCGGTAAGGACTAATAGAATCCTGTAGCTGGACGAAAAAGCTGCTTCATCAACAGTAGATCAATGCAGGTCCGTCGCGTCACGCCCGGAAGGCCTAAGCGGAGCCGGTGCAAGTACATTCCTAGCTGCAGGTAAACGACCATGAAGCACTCCCGTCTCAGCCAGTGTGAGCGCAAGGAAACAAGTCCAATACGGCTCGAAGTGGAATGGCGGTACCATTGGGATAAGTGGTGATGTCGTTGAAAGTGTCGCCAATGGCTGACACGGAGGACGTGTTGTGGGTTAGCGAGCCGGCTTGACGCGCTACGAGTGTCGACACGTGCGGGTGAGCTCTCTGTCCCGCCGTGCCATCGCGTATGAGAGGCGTAGGCATTCCCGATCTATATCGTAGATAGTTCTAGTGTAATTCTGCAAGATCTTAGCGTACCGAGAAGTTGCGATATGTCTGTGCTCTGCTCGGAGAAGTCCAGTATCTTCACAGCATTTCACCGAATCACCGCACGATGATCCTTGTGCATCTGTCCATTGAAGACAAAACACACTGAAAGTTGCACATTCGCCCGTGCCTCTCCCTACTTGTCTCTATAGCCCCATGATATTGTGATTATCAATGGACTCGGAGTGGAATGTTCCGGCTAGTGGTCGCTTCACATGTGTGGATCCTGTGGTGACGCAATTGATTTCGTGTGGCTTCATTCACAGACGGCGATAGTTGGCATATAGCGGATACTCCCCTCGGCATCATAGTAGCATCATGAATATTCATGTCGAAGCCCGTGGAGGCTGGTGTGGGTTTTGCTTGGAGTGCATAGGCAACCAGCTGCGAAGTCTTGGCTAGTTTTCCCTGGCATGGCGAATTCTCGTCTGCAGGAATAATTACTAGCAGCCACTAGACCGGCATTCGACTGCTCTCTCGGGAACATCTACTTCCAGGTGATAGTTCTTCAAAGCATGTGCCCCCGCCACGGCCTGAGCTGCGCCATAGTGAGTGGTCGAGCACTATCCGAACAGGACTGTGCACCTTGGACAGACTTCGATTAAATACCTCTGGACGCGGCTTAATGTTAGAGCTTGGTCAGGTGGGGATGGGTTTTGGCACACATGGGTGGCGGCAACATCTTTCCACGCTGCCATGGCATGTTCACTTGAACACGACAAGATACCTACTGATACTGAATTAGATCGTGAAAGTTCAAGCACGTAGTCGATCTGGTCTGTCAACCCGTGGTCTGAGACGCTGCAACTCTGCGAGGTGCGACACCGAACAAGTATTGCGAGATGCTGCGGTGCTGATATTGCACAACTCCAGATCGCGAGATGCCCTCCGACGAGATGGGGTGTATACAGACTTCGACGACCATAGTCTCGCGGACCCGGCCTGGGCATAGACTTCGCTTGTCGGGCTGCCACGCTGCCCATATCGGGCACGAATTCCAGCTTCTCCTGCGGCGCAAATGGTCTTTTTTCCCTGTAGTCACGCGAAATGGTAGGTCTTGCCAAGTGCAGACATCTGCTATGGCGGTGTCGTAGGCGCGTGTGGAGAAAAGTGCATCATCGCGAGAAGTGGGCCTCGTGTGGTCCGCATCCTCTACACCACACGACGCGGAGCAGGCAGCCCGGTCCGTAGGAGTGGGTGGTGGTAGGACACGTCCATCTGTCCGCTGGGTCTGAAATGTTTTGGTATCTTGAGCGGTGAGCACTGTGCAGGCAATCAGCACACCATTTCTCACCCGACGTCCGACGTGATCGCTGTCGCGACAAATTGAGGGCGTGCAACGTGCGAGAATCCACGGGCGCGTGGCCGGAGTGCGGATCCTCTGCGAATATTGCTGTGGGTATGTGGTGTGAGAGCCGTCATGCTATGTAGACTCCATGTTGTGAAGGACTCTAGGTCCATGTAGAGGAGAGTAGGAAATGGCTTCACGACGCACGTGCGTCGTGTTTACTGTTGTATCAATATTGACCGTAACAAACAATGCTACACACGGCAAGGGTTCGCTTAGGGTCAGTCAACAATGTACGACGACTGTATACCAGCGTTCTTAAAACGATGAAAGGAAGTTCTCGGTGGTACAGCATTGCTTGAAAAGTTTGAACCCGAAATATGGAGATGGTGCATGGTGGTAAGAGAATATATCAATTAGCACATTCCCTAAAACACCCACATTTCAAACATGATGGTCATACCGTCATACCCTCTACACATGTACAGCAGATGGCACCCTTCCGCTGTCTCTGAACCGAGATCGTGATACAAATTTCACAGGTACGCACATGCCTCAGTCGAGCAGGTGGCCAGTGGCACAGGAGCTTCACGAGATGCTTCTCTTACAGACCTACATGTACCTATACACTAACACATCCTACAGCCAAAAATACGTATATCCCAGGCCGACGTCTCCTTCGTTTGATCGCTCCGCCGTCGATTGTCAATGACAACGTACAATCAGGCTCGCTTTACTATCACAAGCATGTAAACAATCCCGCATATACATGTACGCGACAAAATGGGTCACGATTCCATATCACGGTAGCTCGGAGCCATATTGACTCAGGATTCGGGCTGCAGCTTGCGAGCACTGACGAGCATCCAAAACACAACGATGGTTCTGAGGTCGCTTGCTACTGCAGCCGAAACGGCGCTTTGTGCAAGCCATATCCTCAGACTGACATGGCAGCAGACAGTCCGGACGAGTTCCCTTGTTTTCCCTCTCGCAACACCGGTCCATCTATTGAACCATAGCCTCTTTCCCAGCCCTCTCGTGGATGGACGCCACACCATCCGTCCCGGGATCAAGTGCATATTGTAAAAGCCGTGCAAGTCCACCCATCTCAGAATGTCTTGATTCCTCCATTTCCAAGCGCCTCGACAATGGTGCTTTTGCCCCGCATGCTTGAGATACCCTCAGTCTCCCTCAACAATCTAGTCACCTCTTCCACTCCATACACTGTACTACTCATGAACTTCGTTGCCCATCCTTCATTCTTTTTGATTTCGTCGTGTGCGGATATCCAATACTTCGTATCGACCTCTCTTACAATATTGATGCCGCCAGGTGCACCACCACTGATCAGACCACCAAGAATCTTGGGATTGGCTTCCACGTTGAACGCGTGAAACAGCGCGGTGATCGGAACAGCGCCCGGCAACGGTGCGAGGTGGTGGACGATATACGAACGGAGGTTGGCGAAGTCGATTCCGTGAGGGGTGTAGAGGACTGAAAGTACGGCTTCGGCGGGTTGCTGCTGTGTGGGAGAGCCCGGCGCGTGAGGCTTGTTATTGAAGCTGGTGCTTGCCGGATGGCGGGCATCGATGGTGTTCGACGCGGGGTTCGCGCTGGTTGGCAAGGACAGCGAACGCAAAGAAATTCTCTTTGATATGCCAAAGTGACTGCTGATGGATGGCTTCTTACGAATGGTCTTGGACGATGTTTTAGTTGTGCCAGAATGAGCCGACATAGAGAGATCACCTATCTTGATGGCATTATCCTCGACTGTGGTGAGCGCTGTACCAGGGGGACGGTAGGTGATGCCAATGGCATTGTGTAAACGCGCCAAGTCGCCCTTGGTAGTGACATTCGTTATTGTGATCTCGCCCACAGCCGTAGAGGGAGGGTGCGGCTCGATGGGAATACGGACGAACGCAGCAGCCCCTTTGGAAGTGCAGTATGTAGGTATCTCCTCTATTATGCTAGGATCGTCAAAGTGCTTCCAGTCGCGGATTTTGAACGCGGCCTTTGGTGTTGCGAAGATCTTCGTCTTCGTACTCTTGTCCAACGAGCACAGCGTTTCTCGATGGCAGTGATCTGGCTTGTCCTGGCTGATCACAACTACATCGATCTCGTCTTTCAACTCCCGCAGTGATCGGATGGCGGATGGCTCGCTGTGATATGTTGTTGCGAACTTGGGGTGGAAGACTGAGCTCGCGCCGTCGAGCCATGGATCGACGAGAATACTGAAACTCCCCGGAAACTTGCCCTCGAGCGTTTGGGCCGCACATGATGGCCTGAAGGTTAGGAGAAAGCAACTGTCGGCATTCAGCTGGTGGACGGTCAACGACATGCCGCCGTCCGACTGGCTATCGTAGAGTATGTCGTCAAGAATGGAGGCTATGGTGTCCGATCTTGCTGGTCATCTTACTGGAGTCGTCAGGGCGGAAGGTATGGCAGCATGATCATTGATTAGCAGGAATGCACATCGCCGGCGACGTCGTCAACTCTGATGTCTGTAACGGGGCCAGTCAAACCTGAAGATGCTGTTGCGGAGGTTGAATCGCAACAGCGCGAAAGGTAGAAGAAGCGCAGCTGACGAGGCTGCTTCTCCAACCTGGTGACCTCCAGATGGTAGATGCTTCCATCGTCGACCCCAGTAGTCATCCGGAGCGGCGGAGACAATGCAGGACGGTGAGCTTGGCAGTGAGTGTCAGTTGGCTATGCCGCTGTGGAAGGCAAGATGAGGCGTGGAGGATGGAGACATGCATGTCCAGCCGAAGAACGAAGTCGAATCGCGTGGAGGCCCTGGAGGGGGAACTGTAAGCGGAGCATTCTCGGGGAAGCTGAGAACGGGCCCTCTGTTAGTGCCTCAGGCAGGAAACCTGCACCTACACTGTACTTTGTACCACTTCTACCATACATGTACCTAGATACATGTAGTTCACCTGTGCGTCCATACCTAAGGCCTCAAAATACCCACATCAGCGCAATACATAAGATTATCTATGTAAATGTAGACAAAGCATCACTTGATTCCCGTCAAGATTGGATCATGCGACTTTCAGGTTGTGTTCCAATTCAGGTACAAAATATATTAGTCATCTAGCACATGCATTTGCGCCCCTCAGTGGCTCTGAACGGTCGTGGCGGGAAAGGAGGATCCAATGGTCCATCAGGTGTGAAACTGTGAAAGCCAGTCATGATTAATACATGTACATAAATTGACATGCAGACTGGCCAGCGGGGGCTTTCTTTCGCATCGTTGTCATTTCGATAACATCATCATCGCCATCACCATCATCATCTCGTTATCATCACCAACATCGCCTTCATCATCATCATTATCATCATCATTGCGAATTCATCAGACTCATCGATTCCTCGCCATTCTCACTGTATACTCAGTACCTCTATTCTGCACAGGCTCGACGGCGGATAGCCGCAATCGGGAATTCGAGTCTCGATTCTCAGCGATTTGGCTTCTGATCATGTCTGGCCCATCCTTTCTGCAAGGTTCCGGCGCCGCCTGCTTGCGTGCGCAATCCTTTCTGCCTTTGCGCGCAGGAGGGTAGGTCGGTAGGTGCAAGTGTTTTTCAACACAGCGAGGTCGGCGCGATAGCGACGAATTCTTTGCCGCAGGTCGGCGCTCAACCGTATTACCGTGCAGCGCGCGCAGTGCTGTCGGCATTGTTGATGACCTGAGCGTCGTTGATGAATTGATGCCGACCAACCACCTCTCTTTGTCCACACGCTCGGCTTTACCCGGATTAGAACTAGCACCATTGGACGACGGGTGATTCGCTTCTTCTTCCCGCTTCCCCCCCTCTTCTATCGCGAGTCTGAGCTGCCCCTCACACAATAATCCACGCACGAGCAGCCCACCCGCAGCTAATTATCGAGCCTACCGAAAAAGCTCTGTTTGCATCCCCTCACACCACGAGAGACCACGGCCGTGAAGAGAGTCAGACAGAGAGAGCCCACACAGAGAGAGAGAGACCTATTGATATCAAGCTCCACAACCACAGCTTCCGACCACGACCAGGACCTTGCACCTGTCACCTGTGACCTGCCTGCCTGCCTTTTGGGCCTCGATCCGCGAAGCTCTGAAACCGCATTCATCATCGAAGCTCTTCTGTAGCTTTGCGCTGCCCACTGCCCACTGCCCACTGCCTGCGCTGAGAATCTCCGTGCGGCAGTGAGTGAGTGAGCGAGTGCGCACTGCAGTCAGTGAGCCGCAAGCAGGCACTCTCTCTCTGTTGCTACATACTAGCCAGGACAGCAACGCGGAAGGGTGTGCTCGAGCTACCTCTTACTGCGTACCTCCAGTGCGTGCCTGCCTGCCTGCGTGCCTGTCTGCTTGCTTGCTTGCACCTGCTTCTGCTCTGTCGCTACGACCGAAGGAAAGCGCGCGTCTACCCACCGTACCTACCGTACCTACCGTACCTACCGTACCTACCTACCTACCTACCTACCTACCTGACGCCCGCCCGCCTGCCCTCCTTCCCTACCTCCCCTCCCCTACCCCAAGCTCTCGAAAGCTCGGAGCACCGTCTCTATTCCTGATACAGCTAGAATATTGAGCAGCAGCGCGGCCAAGGACGACCTCGGGACTGGACGTGTGAGGGAGCGGACCCGACAGCTACCTCACATAGCTTGTTCAGTGAGCTCACGACAGCTTCAGCTCGTCGACCAGCCAGATTCAGTGCCAGGGTGCCCGCATTACAATGCCTCCTCGAACTCATCTCACCTCTCAGTTCGCCGTCTCGGCCACTGGTGAGAATGAAGTGGTGTGTCCGCTGCGCAACCAGGACTCGTCCGCGTGTCGGAAGCGATGTCTCGGCGTAAGTAGCACTCCCTCCTCCCTCGTCCTCCACCACCACCACCACCACCTTCAATGGTGGCAGCGACGACGGCGACACATGGCCCCTCCCTTCGAACTCCCACCACGTCGCCGTCGGGCCATGGCGAAACCTCAATGCGTACCGTATGGCATACTGACACCACGGCGCCGCACAGGAGAAGAAGTACCGCTCGATGCAAGAGCACATCCGCCGCGCCCACCCCGAGTACTACATCCCGAAGCTGCCTGCCACGAAGGAGTCTTTCGAGTTGATGATCACCTCCCCACCTCACGAACGACCCGCCGTAGATCCCAACCACGCCAATCACCACCACAGCCATAGTCACTCGTCGCACAGCAATAACAACAATAACAACAACAATAACAACACTCAGATACAACAGCACTCGGATCTGTCAGGTCTGTCACCCGCCTTCCACTTTGACTCGCGCGGGCTAGGCTCATCCTTGGAAGGATACCATCACTCTCTCGTCGACCAGCATGATGGCGGCTACTATACGAACGACGACCCTCATGCGCTCGCGCTGTACAATGGTATGCAGGCCGAGCAGCGCTCGTCTGACGAGTATCGCCGAGGGTCGCTCATTCCGGCCGCGTCTGCTGCCGCCGCACTGGCGCAGTTGCACTACCACCGGCCAGACTCAGACTCGGGCTGGGGAGAGAACAACAACATGCAGGTGAATTTCCCTGTCCTTGCTGACTCGCCTGTTACTGAGGCCGATGTTCTTCAGAATTACTTCAACGACGCCAACCATGACTACAAGAACAATCAAATGCATGTGGATCCCGCTCTGCAAGACACGGGTTTCATGCATGACCAGTCCTACAACGTGGGTGCACAGCAAGACCAGCAGGGCTTGCTGCCCAGTAATCTCGCACGGTCGCCGCCAGACCGGTCGACCACTCTTCCGCCTCTGCAACGAAGTCTGTCTAGGTCTGGTGGCATAGGCAGGCCGCGAAAGTCTAGCCTCACCAGCGCCAGAATCAGCAAGCATGAACGCAAGAGATCAAAGGACGCGCTGGGTAAGGACAATCGGAGCGGCTCCAAGGCCTTCTTTGCTAATGCATTGGCTGCAGGCCAACTTCATCCTGGCCGTCGTTGGGAAGATCTGATTGAGGCTGCAGCCTCGGCGACAGAAGAGGAGGGCTCACGCGATCTTACGCCGGTACGTGGACACACATTGTTCATGCCATACCCCCGGAGCGTTTGCTCCAGCAAAGCTTCCTCTGCGTATGTTGCGTCATAATCGGTACTGATCTGGTCGAGCAGGTTCCTGCATCACCCTACCAATCGCCGCAAGTGAATTCTCGCACCTCGCTGCCGCCATTCGCTCTAGGATCGCAGTTCCAGTCCTTTCAAGCGTCACCACTGAACCGAGCCTTGACGCCACCGGCTCCAGACCATACTGGACTCGATCTTCAGACTTTCCCTTCTGTGGATAGCAGCCTCAGCAGTAACCTTAGTCACAGTCACGCACATCACAACAGCGCCGATTCTGGATCACAATTTCACATTATGAATCCTTCGTCGATTGACTCGACATCCTCGCCAATGTTTAACGCAAACAAGACTGACGGCGGCATACATGCCAGCTACTGCTCAGCTTGTCGACGGCCGGCCAATATCAATGAGATGTTTGGCTGCTCAGGCTGCATGGGTCCGCTATGTGGCGCCTGCACTGATGCTCTCGTTAGTAGCCAGAGCCAAGGCCGACCTGTCAAGTGCCCTCGCTGCCACGCATCGGACTCAAGTTTCAAACCATTCCAGTTCGAGTTCGCGTAGCAGGGAGAGCTCCCCTTGCCCATTGATTTCACGATCATGAGCGAGGCGCGAGCTGCGAGGAAAAGACTGGATAAACGTATTTGTCCCACAAATGGGAGACTCGACGAGAAGATTGGCACCCTTCCTCGTTCGACAACGCGAACCCCAATCGCGTTGAAGGGACTTCCCACCCCACTGACCAGGCCTGTCTCTTCAACATTTGGCCCACGGCTCGGCGAGCCGTTCAATTTCGCAACGAAACCAGAGAAGCTTGATTCCACATTCAAGCTTGACCATGAACAAGATGCCCTGGACGACATGTTCCTACACGAGGGGTCTGCCTTTATGGAGGCAGCAGAACTTGAAAGTTGTCTCAACGAGCACGAAGTGCACACTTCGATAGAGAACGACCTGGACATTACCATGATGATCAGGTCTGATGGCTATGAAGCGGATACGTGACATGGCACACTGCCAAAATGAGTTTCCTTCACGCATGCCACGCACAGGACCGCGCAGCATATACCTGACTTTTCTACCCTGCGTCGAGGCCAAGCCCGACCACAGTGTCGAGAGTTCAGACAACGACACGATCTCTGCAGCAATTATCTTCTACGAGTGCACATTATAGACAAAAAGAGCCGCAAGGCTGACCGTCGTTATCCGGGCATGACGACACGACACGAAATGAAACGAAAAAAAGGGCGGTAACGCGACCCTCGGAGCGGATCCTTTGAGAATGTTCCGAGGCTTTCCTTTACTCCGCGTAAATAGCATGGCGAAGGCGCTGGGGAGTTTGTTGAAGCATGAAAGTCCCGAAAATTAAAACGAAGAGGACAATATCACGAAAAATGATTAAGAAGGATAACCCAAAAGTGGGCCTCACCCACGCAGGCGTTGGTTGGCTCAGGAATCATGATCACGAGGGGAGGCTTGTTATATGAACTGAAAGTTTTTGGGTACATTTCGCCAGCGTGTAGATGGGTTGCTTTTTTGCCGCACAGCAAAGGACTACAGTACCGTTCATGTAGATAGAGCGCGCTTTGGGATCCCTTTGGAGCCTTTGCAGCTTCTGGAACTTCTTCTCTGCTGTATGCACGAGATACCAGGAAGCACGAAATGAATGATGAAAATCGCACCTGGGACCTTCCTGACTCCATCTGAGCTTGGTCTCACGCCCAATGACCATGTTTGCATCATCCACTTTGTCAGACCCGCCCTATACCTATAGGAGGCTAGGTAAGGTAGAAATCCAAGGTAGACTTGAAGGCGGTACGAAGATATATTGCTACCTACCTTACTCATATTGACATTTGGTCGCTGCGGCCTATCAATCTCCTCCTGATGGGTGGGGCCAGTTCTGGTGGGAACATGGAAGATCTTTTTTATATCTTCCAGAAAAGCACTTTATTATACTTTTTTCTGTCAAGTGACTCTGCCTCCGATGAGGTAGGTAGGTAGGTAGACAGGTGGTAGGTGCATTACCTGCATGTACATACCTGACCTGATGCAAACGCATCGCGTAAATTCTTGACGTCAAGTGGGTATCTTTTTGGGGGGCAGTCATTGATTGATTGATACCAGGTAAGGTAACCTGGAAGGTAGGTAGGCAGGTATGTAGCTGTGAAGACATGCTTGGCTTCAGCGTGAGTGAGTACCTAGAACTTACATGTAGTTGGGAAATATGGATATGGCTTGCTGTTCCTTTTGAGCTCTACATATGGTACCCGGGGTAGACTACCTACTACCTACCTCTTCCGCAGTGTTGATGAAGTTCTACCTAGACTCTAGACATGCCATCTGGATTGGACGAGCGATCCGCAGTCAATTAGACTTTTTTTGCGTAGAAAAATTCGTGCACCACTAGGAGCTGAGCCTAGGATGAAGTGGAGGATAGAGGATCGACGGGAGGGCCCCGCATCGTTGGACAAACCGACGAGGGCGACGAACAAAGTAGGCCCACCCGTTTCGCCGAATAATGAATGGCATTGGCACCTCATGGCCTGTACATAGCTGCTGCAAGGTGGATGGAAGCTGTCTCGACGACATGATTTCTCGGACAATCGTTGAAAAAGCAGCAAGGGCCCATCATCACATCCGCCAGCTGTCTCTCTCTCTCTCTCTCTCAACTCTTCTCCGTACCAACAGTCCAACGCCATTCTATCGTACCGCGGGCGTATTTCCGGGAAACCGACGATTTCGCACCTCGAGCAGCCTATAAACATCAGCCCTCCGAGCAGGGACACTGCCACCGCGCCAAACCCGATTATTGCCTATAGCAACAGCTCTGCCTCGTCAGGTACAGGTAGCACTCCTCCTCTCGTGAAGCCGTGGAAATCTTGATTTTCCCTCTCCTCTACCTCACGACTGCCAGCCATCATCCGATATGGTTCCTGGCATTGCTCACACCGACCCGACGTCGCCCGTCAAGGCGGAGATGAAGGCGGAAGTCAAGGCGGAGCAAGCGCTGCTTGACGCCTCCGCCTCCGCCAGCACCGAGTATATTGGACGCCGGCCTTCAACTTCTTCCGGGCGGGACACGAAAAGATTGAGTGAGTAGAGTTTGCTTTCCCTTTGCGGTGTCCGAATTTGTACTTCCCCCCCAATCTGGTCAAGAGCTCAATCCATGCACATTGGTGATTTGCATCGGTCACCTCGGGGTTCGATGGCTGTCAGCACCGCGCCGCCTGATTGGGAAAAAGAAAGTATGTCTGCGGTAGGGAGAGGAGGGGGAGGAAGGAGAGGGCTGTAAACCCTCCACTTTGTTTTTTTCCCAACAATCTCAACTACCGCACCGCACCGCCCACACCACAACCTCCACGCCATATTCCCATCTCCCATCCTCTTCCATCGCCCACTTCCCATCACCGAGCGAGCGTCTTCTCCTTCGCAACAGACGACTCGGTTGACGACGGCCACCGCACCCTTCGACTCGCGCATCGACGCCGCATCGACGCATCGCACCTTTCAACAAGGACGCTGCTCCTCACCGTAGCATGGCTAACCAGATGCCCACCCCCACAGGACCGCAGACGCAGTCTTTGCCTCCTCCCGCGCTGCCGCGGCTCGTCGCTGAGCAAGCGCACCCCATACCCTCGTCCGATAAAGACACCAAGCGCCTCATCGTCGTGCTGTCCAACGCGAGTCTCGAGACATACAAAGCTGCACACGGCGGCAGAAATGGCACCAAAGATGACAAGTACTCGTTGCTCAACAGCGACGAGCACATTGGCATCATGCGCAAGATGAACCGCGACATCAGCGATGCCCGCCCCGACATCACCCATCAGGTATGTCGCTCTACACGTGTGTGAAGCTACCAACCCATTAATCCAACATTAATGGCTGGTATCAGTGCCTACTCACTCTGCTCGACTCGCCTGTCAACAAGGCTGGCAAGCTGCAGATCTACATTCATACCGCCAAAGGCGTGCTGATCGAGGTCTCACCGACGGTGCGCATCCCGCGTACCTTTAAGCGATTTGCTGGTCTCATGGTGCAGCTGTTGCACAAGCTGTCCATCAGGAGCACGACGTCGCAGGAGAAGCTGCTCAAGGTCATCAAGAATCCCATCACCGATCACCTTCCCCCCAATTGCCGCAAGGTCACGCTCTCGTTCGATGCCGAGGTGGTGCGCGTGCGTGATTACATTGGCGGCCTGGCGCCCAACGAGAGCATCTGCATCTTCATTGGTGCCATGGCGAAGGGCAATGATACATTCGCCGACGAGTACAAGGATGACTCGATCAGTATTTCCAACTACTCGCTTTCGGCCAGTGTGGCCTGCAGCAAGTTCTGTCACGCTGCAGAGGATTGCTGGGACATTATCTAGAGATGGATCGAGCCGACCGCAGCACCGGACACGACGGGCGAGTACAAGACGAAGTAGGCAATCATGCACGACGCACTCATGGCAAGTATCGAGATTCCGCCGCTTCTACCCATCGCCATGATACCAACATCGTGAGCATGACAAGTGTGCTGGAAGGCTGTTTGGTGGGGGGTTTTGGCTGTACGGTGGATCACAACATCACCGCGGGCAACTCTCTCTCTCTCTCTTCGACATTCTCCCGGGTGACCTTGGATGAGCTTTGGGGCTACATTGGGTGCCTCACAATGAATGACCTGGTAGCCACAGCGAATTGGGTACACACAAATGCTGGTGGAGGTAGTCCTGATCCATTGCATGTACTGTATGATAGATAACAAAGGAAAATGAAAATATGGACACCACTTTTGGCCAGCGTACGGTCTCTCATGCATGGTACCTTGTCTACATTATCTGTTTTCTTCGATGAGGACATTTTTCCAAGAAATTTGATCTCAGCCTTCTCAGGCAGGAAGGTATCTTATTACCTTACGCAGACAGCGCCTATGTTTTTCTTCTTTTCTTTTCTATCTCCCTCTCTCCCTCTCTCTTACGGTCTCACCAGGCAGGTACCTAGCTATCAGTATCAGTATCAGTATCATCGATATCATTCCCTTTCATTGATATCGACATCGACAGTCGTATATAGTAGTCGAACACGATAGATAGTCGGACAGTGGGATCGTGTTGGACAGTCGTACCAGTCGTACAGTCGGACTTAGATGGATTGATACCTAAGATGGATACCTAGATACCTATATTGATAGATTAATACAAGTTCTTTTTTTCCATTTCCATTTCCATTTCCATTTCCAATCCCATTTCCAATTCCATTTCCATTTTCCATGTCCATTTCCATTTTCTTTTTGCATTTTCTTTTTGCACTTTATTTTTCTAACAGTTTAGTTTTCTACACTTTTTTCGTATTTTGGTTCTTTCCTTCCTTCCTTCCTTCCTTCCTTTCCTCTTCCTTTCCCTCCATACCTATCTCCTTGATGCATACATACATCCATATAAATCAAGATACCTACCTACCTACCTACCTACCAACTTCCTAACCTTGTAACTGTATTCCATTTTTTTTCTAGGAAATATTTTCAATAATATAGTCACATACTCTCTCATAGTCCATAGACTTATGAAAGCATCAAAAGCAATGAAAAACTCCAACCCCTAGCTCTGTTCTGCCCTACCCTGCCTTGATCTGCTCTACCCTGCCTTTCCCGCCTTGTCTATACCCTGCTTTTACCCCTGACATGTGGATGTTAAGGTAGGTACAGTACCTTTAACCTAACCTTAGGTAACCTAACTTACTGTACCTACTGTAAGGAGTGTAAGCCTGAGTAAGGGAAGGGAAGGGATGTTATGACATTGACGGGTATGTTGTGTTATGGTATGTTCTGGTTCTACCTTCTGCAGACAGACCTCTACAGACCTCTACAGATACAGTAGGTAGGTAAGTGTGCATGGCATAGACATGTATGCAGTACATGACTCGTGAGTTGGTGAGGTCTGTTGGTCAACTCCTCTATTAATTAATTCCCTCAAATCTTCAAATCTTCAAATACCTAGATACCTTCCTGTTCAGTGTTGGTTTAGTAACTTTAGCTTTTTTTTTATCAAATTTCAATTTTCGCCCTGTTGTTGGTTTTTTTTTGGTGTTGGTTGGTTTTTTTGGTTGGTGATTTTTTGTGTTTCCTCGTCCTCGTCATGGTGTTGTGTTGTGTTGGTGACTTTGGTAAACGAAATTGTGCGTGTAGGTAGGTACCTTGGGTACTGTTGGTTGGTTGGTTTGGTTGGTTGGTGGACGCGATCGGGGAGTTTTGGTGATGTTGGTACATACATGTGCTTAGAGGGAAGGGGGAAAGGGGAGAGGTTGGAATCTCAGTGGGTGGGTTGGTTTGGGGAGGGATTGAGGCGAGGCGGATCGGTCTCCAGCAGGTCGTGGGACTGTACTGGGAGGCCGATGGGTTGAAGTAGTAAAGTCGTATTCAGAACAATGCAGACAAAGGAAAAAAGAAAATAGGTTTAAACAAGTTCCCTCATATGCTGTGCAAAACTGCGCTGCTCATTAACGAGACCGAGCTGTCACTAATTACAATGCGCCTCTCCGTTGTTTACAATAATAAAATGTCCGACTGTATTAGCTCACCAAGTCGGTGCCATAGTGTTGCCAACTCAGATCGTGATCAAGAAATGAAAACTGTCCGCCTCGGGGTCCCGTAGCAGGCAGCACCTCTAATAGTCGTCCACCACCGTGTCTCTCATTAACCGCCCCCCTGAAGAGTAGTATGGGGGCAAAGCCATGTCCAGGTGAATTAAAACTGGTTGCTTGCTTACAAGGCAACCAATTGGCAGATGGAGCCAATGGAGATGAGGGTGAGGCCATCGCCGCCAGTGGTTGTCGTAGGGCAGCAGGCAACGTTGGCGCTACCACACTCGCCACCAACTGTGAGGGGAAAGCCAAGTCAGATACAAGCTCACTGAGAATGACGGGGTTGCGCAATCAATGGGGACTTACTTTCAGCCAGAGGCGAGCAGTTACCACCGAGGAGAGGTCCAAGGAGGCCAGTGCCGACGCTGGTGGATTCACCGTTGCAGCAGGCGTTGGTCTGCTCGACGGAGCACGAGCCAGGAGTCGAGGATGGGTCGTCGGTTGGCTCGTCGGTAGGAGGCTGGACCTTTGGTGGGCCGACGTAGCCTGGCTGGTAACCAGTTGGGGGGAACTTGGGTGGGCCAGGTGGTGGGACGGGGCCAGATGGTGGTGGTGGGTAGACTGGGGAACCAGGTGGTGGGACGACAGTTGGTGGGTAGGTTGGCGACCATGGCTGAGGTGGTGGGATGGCGTGTGGTGGGTAGTTTGGCACCGGGCTGCTTGGTGGTGGGGGGGTCATGCTCGAACCGTAGCCAGCTGGAGCATAGTCGCGCTTCTCCTCAGAGATAGGAGTGGCGTTGGAGAGGACAGCAGTGGCAATGAATGCCAAGATCGTGGAGGTCTTCATTTTGACTGAGAGGGGGGGTTCGAAAACGAATGTGGTGTGTTTATTAAACGAATGTAAAGAGTTGGATGTGGAGGAACCTGTTGGTCGAAGAGGCGATTGACAGTTTGCTGATGAGAAGAAAGTGTGAAGAGCAGAGGAGACAGTCTTATATAGGACATCTTCCCACTGATCTGCCTCTGCGAGGGACGAGGCTGGGTATGTGCCAAGGAGATTGTCTTCCTCACGAGGCCTGTTCATTCGAGAGCGCAATTGAACTCTGGTGGGGAGAGTGTACGCAGCCAGCCCCGGCCCAGTTGATGGCGGATTCCTTGTCGGCGTGCAGATTGTGAGATTGAGGTACACAAACCTTCGTTATGATGAGTGCGGGTCAGTGCTTCTCCAGCGCAGCTCCGTGCCCGTCGTCCGTCGGTGCCATACTGCCAGTAGGTTGCGTATGGTAGACTCGTGGTCTGGGAAGTATCATTCACACACACTCTCTCTCCCCCAGAGCGATGCCCGAACGGGAAGTATACCAGCTATACAGCTGAGTCTACCGCAACACTCCTCGCTTCGAGGTGTGTGTGTCTTTCCCTCGCATTCTTACTGGTCCACCACCACCACCAAAGGTACATGACATGGCTGGGGCGAACAATACTGTACCTCACCGATCGGGTGTTCGGTGCCGTCATCGTCATGGCCCACGTCCCGACCCATAGCATATCATCTCGTACCAACAGCAATGATGGTTCTACCTGGAAGGGCAATACGACGTCGCCCCATTGGGCGACATTATGATTTCTTGGCCTTGCAGAGAATGAATGAATGAATCGAATCGAGTGCTGCCGGGCGAATATGCTGCCGAAGTCGAAACTTTGAATCTCCTGACAGGTGTCCCCCCCCCCCTCCTCCCCCATGCGGACCATTCGTATCGGCATCAGCAATATGTAAGTATGATCATGCATACCCATTGTCCATATGGTGCGGCCTGGTGCTAGAAAGCCTCGAATAATCATCATCATTATCATCAGACAAAACGAAACCACGAGTGCTCGGACTCACCCTTCCGTGCCATGACTTGTTGCCCGGCCCCTTCGGCGTGAAGACGACAGGGAAATGTAGGGTAGGTCTTTGATGCCGGAGCGCAGACAGCGCCGCGGAATAGTTTCAATCAGGCCCGAATGTGAAGAGACAAACAAGCCATGATCACAATAACAACAACAATGATCCTTCACCATGCGATATGAGAGACTCATTTCGCGGGTCATGCAAGGTACGGCCAGGGCAAAAAAGTGCATCTGGCGGGCAAAGTGATGTTGGGAAATGCCTGACAAGTGAGGTGACATGGAGAGGGAGCTACTGGAACTGGCTTCCGGCATGCTCGTTGTCTGGGGACGTTTGGCAATTGGCACATGTCTGTCGATCACCAAAAGCGGATCCATCGCGGCCGACGGCTCGTGCCTTTTTTTTCTTCTGTTTTCTGTTTTCTCTTTTTTCTTTGGGGGATGGGGGACCAGGATACCGCCCGTCACCCCCAAAGTCTATACCGTCAATCGTCGTGTTCGAAAGCTTGTTGGTATTGGAGCTGATGCGCAGCCCCCTAGCCCTCCGGAAGACGGGACACTGCCCATCGTATTCGGCGGGCTTCGCCGGGCGGGGCGGATCAGGATAGGAGGTAGCCTGGTAGGTGAACAGGAGAGAAAAATGCACCGGAACACATAAGACAAGATGGGACAAGACCGAACAGGAGCAGGGAAACAGTCGAAACAGTCAAAACACATAGAGGACAGGACATAGCTCCTATGAAAAGACCAGCCAAGACGGGATATGACACAGGACAGGAGAGGAGAGGACAGGACAAGCGCTGCCGCCTCCGCTATCACACTCATCACATTCTACCTTTAGAACACAACACTGTGCAGATGACGTCCAGAGAGTAATTAGTGCCCTCTCTCGTCAGGGTGTCTGTTGCAACGGAGAACATTGAGAGTCATGATTTTATGATTGATAATGACAGGCTAAAACTACGCATCCGCATCCACCGTCCAGGGTGGTTGGTGATGATTGAGCGCTTCGCGAATCGCGGTAAATGTATCCAAAATGATTGATGATTGATGATATTACCTCCAGCCTCCATCCTTCGGGTAGTCATTTACTACATAGATCGTCACGGCAGTTGACAATGACATGTTATCCTCATGGTCATTGCTAAACGAAGCCCTAGCCCATCATCATATGCTCTCTCCTATCTCACCGCCCAGCGTTGCAGCGGGCCATCGCACATGAATATTCCCAGTCATGGTTTGATTTGAATGAAAAAAATGCACAGAGTGGCAAAAATATGGAGAAAATGGATGATGGAACCAGGGTATGGCAAATGCTTCCAATCTGCCTTTTGCGTTTTTTCTCTTCAATACGATATGATTGATAACCTTACCTTACCTTACCTGACCTTCCTTTTGATGACCTTCTTCGACCAACAGTAGCCATCGTTTTCGGAACGTTGGTTCGGGGTCCTTGTTTGGACGGTCTACCTTTTTACGGTATCTACTCTACACAATCTCGGGAGCCGCATGCACGGAGCATTTTTTTTTTTAAACTTATTGTAGTATTTTATACTCGTGCCATTTCGGCGTTTGTAAATTGCACTCGACTAGCCATGGGCGAAAAAAAACTCGTGTGAGAAACGGCCTCTCATCATCATTTTCAATTCTTCATCATCAATCTCGCATTCTCGACTGCGTTGCCTTTTTTGTACCTGGAGACTGGAGTGCCTTGCCTGAGCCCGGTGCCACGCGGACCCTGAGCCTGAGCCTGAGCCTGAGCATGAGGCTGAGTCTGAGCCTGAGTCTGAGCCAGAGTTCGAGCCAGAGCCACCGAATACAATGAGGCGCGACATCTTCCACCACAGCCCCAGCCTTCAACCCGATCATCACCTTTTGATTCCTCCTCCGACTGACTACCTAACCTACACACTCTCCTCTTCCCCAAAGACATCCACGCCCATCGTCTTCCAGAGGTAACAAGTTTCAGCTTACCTCCCTCTTTCGGGAATTTACTCCAGCAGCAGCAGCAGCAGCAAGCTCATATCCTTTCCTCTTACACACCCGAAGAAACCCGTTTAAAGCCCTACATTTGTTCGAGAAATCGTGCTCTCTTGCATACATACGCATATGCATTTCCTTCCATATATGATGAAACCCTCCAGAAGCTTTCCCGCAGCCTGTCAGTCACCACCAGTACCACGCCGCCCGTTTTACCCTCGCCAGAAGCTTTTTTTCTTATCGAGAGAGACAAAGTTGGCACGTTTTGCTGCTTGCTTGCTTGCTATTTCTGGCGAAAAGTGTATCTGAAACACACACGTTACCTTGAGGTACTCATCCACCTATCCACCCACCAAACGCCTCGGGGATGGAAGAGGAGGGAAGGGATAATAATAAACGTGGAAAAGAGCTTTTGTTTTTTTCGATCGAGAAGTTTAGATGTCTCTCTGGATAAAAAGACTGAGTGGCACGGTATAAGTTTATGGGCTGGTTTCTTTTTCTTTTTTCTCCTTTTCTTTCTTTCTTACACGCATACAGACATGCAGACATGCACCTCTCGATTACCTTACATACGCATCTCCCTCGAGAGAGAGAGATTATTGCTCACGTTTGCACGGCAGGGCCAATGGAGACTAGCCTCGTCGCGAGGAGAGTGAAATCGAGATTATGCGCGCTAAGCCGTCTATAGAGAGAGTGTGTGAAGACGACGATGAACGAGGACGTTATCAGCGTTTGGACTGGCCTTGACAGAAGGGTTCCTAGACCAGCTATCAGACAGACATGTTCTATTTGAGGGCGGAATATCCTGGGGATGTCGACGACGACGAAAAAAGAAAAAAAAAACGCTGTGCAGACAGCATGATCGATTCTTTACAGTTGGTCGGCAATTTGTTGTGCGGAGACGATGTGAACGTGGGAAGCGAGAGGGCGTGTCGTCTCCAATTGAACAGCAGACCTACAACACATGACCCAACTTAGGGGCGCGCTCCAACTGCATCATGTAGGTGTCGGCACGGTACAGCACTTTGCCTAGGCGGTATCATTGTGTCTTTCCTTTCTGGCTGAATCGCACGAGAACATGAATGCTGATGATGACACTGGTGGTAGATGAACATGGCCTGGTGATTATAGGTAAAACATAACCTGAGCTGCCTCCGCAGATGGGAAACAAGTCCCCTTGCTCCTCTCATCCATCATCATCATTGTCATCATATATATCGTTGCTCGTACTGACTGTACCACAGCTCGCTCACTCAGTACGCGAAAGCCAGAATCGACTCATCGTTACTCTGCCTAATCTTGCGGTTAGTCCTCTGCAACCAAACCCGCATCACCCACGCCGCAGAAGCGCACAACAACGAGAAACCCGCCGAAGCACCCATAGCAATCGCATATCGCGGCTCATCATATTCCGGCCAGAGGTAAGGTGTCCAGACAAACGAAGCATTAGCAATAGTATTAACAATCGCCAACGAAGAAGCCTTTTTTTCCTTAGTCTGTCCACACGTCGCGCTCACCCATCCCAAAATGATCGAATTGACCGCGTAAGTACCAATGGAAAAGACAATCATCCCGAAATATCGCACTCCAGTATTCAGCGTCGCAGCACAGAGCACAAAGCCGAAAATCGCTATCGATTTGGCTACCGTAATATGCCACGTACGTTCGTTGAATTTTCCCGAACTGTACGAATACGCAATCGACAAAAACCCCGCAATCAAATACGGAGGACAAGTCAACACCAGCGTAATCGTCCGATTAAACCCCAACGTCTTGACGGCAGTCGGGAAGAAATTTTTGAATCCGTTTGCGGCCAAATGCATGTGTTGCATGAAAGCGAAGAGCCACAATTTGGGATCCGAAGCTGCCGTTTTTAAACCTTTCCATACCGAGACGTTGAGTTTTTTGGCTCCGACTTGGTCGCCTTGCACGCGGCTGTTGGCGAGAAGACGCTCTTCGGGTGTGAGCCAGCGGGTTACGAGGGGGTCGTCCGGGAGGATGAAGGCTGCTCCCAGGGCGACGAGGCCGGTTGCTGCGCCTTGGATGATGAAGAGCCATTGCCATGCTGCTAGGTTTGCATATCTGGAAGAGAGAGTTAGAAAAAGAAAAAAATAAAAAAAAAAAAAAAAAAAAAAAAAAAAAAAAA